CACCAAAAAAAAGGAAAATGCACGAAGAAGCAGAAATGCATTTTCAACCCAGAACTCTTAGGCAGACCTTCCAATTTAAAGGTTGGTAAAGGAAGAATTGCAGACCTACTAGTAAACTTTACCACTCTCCAGCGCGTAAGAAAAGAACTTGCCTGCCTTAACACGAAACTCTGGAACAAACTGCAATCTAACAACCTACCAGCAATAGCAAGTTGAAGAGAACTTCTAGTTCCACGAAAACAGTCAGACCATCAGAATCTCTAAGTCTATGAGCCAAAAAAAGAACAAGCTTCTTCAAGGTAGAAACGCCTGCAGCGGCACCTTCTAGCAAATCTCTAAGAATTTCGGTAAGTACGCACCGAAACTTTTGCGGTGCTGCAGCTGTCTCCAGACTGTGACAGAAGAAGAACAGTATTGGTATGCAGTGGTCTGGTCTCCCGCGCGCTCCAGAGACTTTAAAAGAATGGCAAGAACCCCTCTCTCCTCTTTCTTGTGTGCAGGCAAGATATTGCCCTCTTGGCACGCAGAGCCTGCGTTGCGGATTATTTAGATGCCATACAGTGCCACTTTGCCCTCCACAGAGACGTAGCGGAGGCACCAGCGCGAGAGAGACCTTGTTCATGCCTCAGAGTATGGGTGGACGATGGAGTCACTCAGTTTACTTTCCCCTCTTGGGAAAAATACCTGTAAAGTCATAAACCCAGTGCAAGTCGAGATCGATTAGCAGCCAGTCTTGTTCCTGCCGGTACATGTCGCCATCCAGAACATACCGCCAGAGTCAATACTTCCAGCGCAGAGAATTACACCGCTTCTCTTAACCTTTTGCGTTTTTTTGGAAAGAAATGGAGGCTGCGCGCCCCTCGACTCTCTCAAAAAGACTGAAACCGCACTCAGTCATCGCAAGCATGCAGCCTAGAATGATAGCTAGGCAGCTCATCCTGGGTATGAGGAAGCGATTCCAAGTCCGGACATTGCTTCTCGCTGGATAACATGTGCCACCGGTATAATGTTCTAGTAAGTCCGCTTTTCTTGTCTGCCAATGCGCAAGATATAACTGAAGCAGCTGGCCTGAAAGTCAGCATGGCAGGCGCAGATGCGTGGGATTTGTTCGTCAGGCTAAGCCTTCTTCCATATACGTCCGAGCATGCAAAAAGTGAGATGTGGTCTGCCATTTCCAAACTTGGCAAAAATCTGCAGTGTCAAGGTGTTGCCAGCGCCCATGACCATAAAGGCGATTTCATGTACGGCTTTGCCAGTCAAGTTCCGTCCGGTTCGATGTTCGGTGTTGGAATGACGTTGGAAAGTTGATTCGAATTTCTAAGATGCCAATGGAAACATTTCCATTATTTGAATCGACTTTAAGAATCTAATCCCAATGCCGTAGAGCTGTTTAAAGAAGGTATGAGGACCCCGTGATTCAGTTCACGATGCACTGCAAGTTCACGCATAGCCCATCACTTGAGTGAGATCCCGGGAGATAGGAAATGACAGCCTGCTGGAGCTCAAGAGCTCGAATTTTGTAGTGCCGCTGACGGCAACTTTGAGTGATGGCCGGCTTGACTGTAGCTGTGCTGGTCTCGCGGGTTGTCTTTGTTCAACTGTCCCCATGTTGCTCCGCGGTGGGGCCGCGGGTGGTATTGTGTGCAGTGCCGCAGTTGTGCTGCTTGCTCAGCTTGGTCGTGACTCGTCCGAAAGCTACGCGAGAGAGAGAGAGAGAGACAGATTATCATCAGACAGGAGAAAACGATCGACATCCAGCACAATAGATGGTTGGCGCATCGCCCAAATCTAAGACAAACGAATTGAGCTGATATGCCACCTGAAAAGTGTCATCATGAAAAGTCGGCATTTGCAAAGTCTGATCTGGAATGATTGCATGTTGAAGTTGTGGACTTGACCATTTTGGATCTGAAATGCTGGCAATCAGTCCAAGACAGCGCGGCGTTTCAGTCAGCACGTGGATATTGGCCTGTCGACGCCAAGAGAACACCAATTCTGAAGTAAAGTAAATTGCGGGTTCGCAAGATCGTGGGATCAATATGCAAAACATTAGAAGGCGCCGGCTGTGGATTGCACCTAGAAAATCTCTAAGAACATCATTCCAAAGAGTGATCTGAAAATTCACCATGTCCCGGCACAGCCACAGGATAAGGGCAGGCGGTTTTTGTCAATACCTGTCAGCAGTGTTACTTCCTCAGTGTGGTCAAGGGCAGTAAGTCAACTTCAGACAATGTCCAGCAAGACAGGTTTCACTATGCTTCTAGAGTCCCCAAACGAAGCTCCCTCGAAGGCGGTTTTGGCGGAGCTGTGCTCCACTTATTTCTTGGAAAGCAGAATCGGTTCCTGGTAAAAGCAGTCTTGGACAGTCACAGAAGAAGCCAAACAGTTGCCAGAAGTCTGGTCGCATGAAAGCGGTTGCCAACAGGAGGACCACACAGCGTTTAGTTAGGTTGATCATCATCTCCTTGGCTTCGATGGGTCCCGGGGCCGCAGCACGGTGTCCACCTCGTGGCGCTTTGGTTCTGAATTCCACTTCATCGCTTCACAGCATTTATCTTGTCTGTCACTCAACCCTGCTCTTTGGCCTTCTGTAGGTTCACGGCTTCCAGTCGGACTCCCACTACCCCCACAAGATCCATCATCATATCATACCCAGACATTAACGTCGCCAAAGACTTGAAAAGCCATAACAGCAAAACGGACATCAAAATCAACCACTCGAACGATCATGTTATAGATGACTAATCACAGATTTCTCCACAGAGCTTGTCTCCAAAGTTCGTGAGCAGGAAGTTGGATTCTACAGCATGTGAAGTTAAAAATTGTTTTATTGATTTCATAGAAATTTTGGCAACACGTTTATACATCGTGTGATGTAAGGCTCAGTCTGAATGTGTTTGAGTGATTTTATGAAATAAGAGTTCTTGTTTGCTTTGTTAACAACTTTCTATTTCTAGTGAATCAAGTTTGCTTTTGTTGGGCAAGCATCTCAAATCTCAAACATGTCATTGTGACTGCTCATGTGTTTAAACTGCTTGAGGCCGCGTTGTGCAAAATATGGGTTCAAGCTTGTGGCACAAAAAATTTCGCACCCACCCACCCACAGAACGGCAAACTCCGCTCCTGTACGTGGACTACAGATCAGCTACAGCTCCCTTGAACTCCAGGCTTCGCTCACTCAGCACCGACGAGCTTGTGTGAGCCGAATAAGGCCTACCCAGCCGTCCGGCACAAGGCCGCAAGCAGCGTGAACACCCCATTTCGAAAAGATGGTTGTGCGCTCTCCTTCGTTGAGTACATGTACCAATAATATTTGATTGATTGACTGAAACATTTTTGGCAACACGTTGATACATTGTGTGATGGAAGATTTAGTCTGAATGTGTTTGAGTGATTTCATGAAATAAGATTGAGGACACGCATGCTGTCAACGAGATGTTCGTGTGGTGAAGACTTGTCAACAAGGCTCGGTTGTTGAGTGTTTTACGAGTTTCAAATCCCGTCAAGAGAGGGCAAATTTCCAGGCAACGATACATGTATTTTTGTAGTAGTTGCGCTGGCATCCAACATGATTCCGGAATCTGAGTCGGATACGTGGAAAACTATTTTCACGCTCCCGGGTTGTTTGTCGTGCGTGAAGGAATGTTGATGGCCGAATTTCAAGTGACAGTGATGAACCACGAATGTACAAAATCGTTTTTGGTTTCATGCACAGCATTTTTGTGTGAGGCACTGCAGCCTGTGTATGTATGGCACGATGGGTTCATGGGTTGAAAAGGTTTGTTTTGCAACACTGGGGGGTTCCAAACATCGCAATTTCACGACAACATGCAAACATCAAACAAATTTTTTCGGTTAGATTGATTGCCATGGCAGACGTGGATGAGTGACGCGCCTGCATGTATTGTTGGTTCCTTGTGTTAAGCTCACAACTTCCCAATCCAAACAACATGTTGTGGCGCATAACATGTTTTGAGTGATCTTGAATGTATTGTTGTGTTGGATATGCCTTTTCTTTACTGTTGAAAAATGGCTCAGGCTAAAAACGTGTTGGAGCTTTTCAACTAGTCCAACTAAAATGAAGTGCATAAAATCCTTTCGGCACAAGCTAAGAAACGGTGGCAGTACAAAACATGTTGTCGATATTGGCATTTGATTTCATCAAATTCACAAATGGGTGAAATACCCTTCTGAGCGTTTGGCGTCTGATTGGCGTTCATGCCTTTGAGACATAATGAGTCCGTATTCAGCAGCGTTGAATGGTTTGCCTTGTTGGACAGCAATTATGTTGTAAGGATATGGCGGGAGATGCAGAATGAGCAGCCGAAAATCAGCGCCAAACGGGCCGCGGTCAAGGACTGGCATGCAGACGTGAAGCTTGTTTCACCGGCCGCTTGTTTGGTGCATGTAAGCGAGACATTTGTGGCGCTTTCATGAGCGCTGCCCAGCTCCAATTTCAATTTTGTTTCCGATGTAGCATCTAGGACACCTGATAAGATTGCCTCATGAGTTTTGCTGCGGTTATTTTTTTAAGGCTCTGACTGCACGAGGGGAAATCATCAGTTAGCACCCTTGGCATTGCGATTGGTGATCAGCCCCCAGGCTGTCAAAGACTTGAGCCTCCTGCAGAGGGAGAAGCCCAAGCAAAAGCTGCTTGGTTGGCAACTGAGTCATTTTAAGTTCTATGAATTTCCAAATATTTCTTAGCAAGTCGGTTTATGGAATGAGTTGTCAGGATAGATTTGGTGGCGATGCCAAGCAGGTTGCTAAGAATTGAGGCTGCGGTTGAAATCCAATTCTCTGTGACCTCAGTGGGGCTTTCACACGTCGTTTTCGATGCTCGTTGTGCAAGTGCATAACCCGAAAGGCAACTGAAGCTCGGAAACATGTCTTGCCAACAAAAAATGCGAACTGCAAGATGCCTAAGACCCAATGGTTTCAGCCTTCCAGTTTCAATCAGGAAGAGCACGAGCAAACAACTCGACTCGACACTGAACTGGATGCGTGACTGGTCTGGCGGCCTTATTGTGGGCCAGCAGAAGGCCTTTCTGTTGCATTTCTGCAGGGTTGTGAAGCATGTTTGATCTTTGGGGTGTTCTTCGTATTCCAATCTCTGCATCCTGCATGGCCCTTGCTGTGCCTGGTCCAACCTCTGTGTAGGCACTTGCGATCGTTCAAAACATTATTGGAATCAATGGTGGCTAATGCATTGTTCCACCCATGCAGGTGCTTCCAGGTCTCCTGATGTTTGGCTCTGCCCCAGCTATCCGTGACATGCCACCCAATCCAAGGCAATTACAGGACAAAAGTTATCATGTAGGGACCTTACATAAGCCTAATATATCCCTTATATGACCCCTATGGACCCTGTGTACCGCGCATATTCCCTTTATTTTAGCTCACCCCATTGTAAACTCCTCCCTGTTGTTGGTCCTAACCCAATCTATCAACTTGCATTCTTGTTCGGAACAAGCTTTAACTGGGAAAACAACAATATTTACAAGCAGCACCCCATGCATGAAGCTTTGAAGGACACTGACTTTGGTGCGTCAGCCATGGCTGGCGTCGTGGAGGAGAGCTGCTTGATTGTGGCTATTGAATTTGAAGCTTGGTGTTGCTCTGTATCTTCCATGTCTGGGCAGACTTTGGTAGTATAGCCCCTTTCTTGCGTGCTTTCTTGCACCTGACGCCCATCTTATTTCATCTTCCTCAACTACCTGTAGGCATTCGTTTCTCCCTTCTCATGCCGAACCAGATATGCTCAGCGGTCAGAATGAGTCAGTGTGGGCATGACGGTTCTTGGGTATATTGCGTCATGATGCGTTACGTCTTGTCTGTGCTGTGATCGGTCCTTGTCTGCCACCTCGGGCAGCTCCAGGATCTTTCAATTGCCCAGCCGCCGACGACTTTACTGGATGCCTGGGAGGATTCGCCCACAGGACATTCGGTCAGAGCGCAATCATGTCTTCCTCGAGTATGTGCTTGGTCTCTTGCATTTGGGGTTCATAGTTGTGATCAAGGTCCAGGGTTGGATGCTGAGTCTACCGCGCCTTGTTTGGAGCGTGTAAGGAATGAAGGTCCTGAGAACGGGGACTCGAGTGCCGAAGTGATGCAGCTTCAACATGTTCACAACCCCAGCAACCAGCGGCATTGGCAGGCACGCCAGAGACGTTCTTGGCGTACATCCAGCGGGATGTTAATTGCTGCTTGTCGATTTCCAGGGTGCCTTGATCGTTAGCATCTTTTCCAACTGCTGATAGCTGCAGCATTCATGCCTCTATGTCTATGTTTGCCAAGCGCCTAAACTTCCTAGATGTAGCTTCTTAAGCAAGACTTCAAGGAGGAATTCTTTGCTGGCTTTCCCGCTCATCACCCGTGTGAGACCTGCATTGCCTGGTTCGAGCAGGCTCCCTCGCTCACAACTGGCCTGCCAAAATCTGCTCAGCTTAGGCTTCACGTGTTTGTGCGCTCTTCATTACATTGCAGGAGTTGTAAGATGTTCCTGGTTGTTATAACTATCCGTCCTTTTGAGTTTTCGTCTCCCCTGTCGCTTGGTAGTGGAGGCCTTGCCAAAGAAGTTTTGCACTCGTGTTCCTAAAGTTGCCAGCTCATTTCGTGAGAGATGATGATCGGTGCATAACCTTGTAGGTTTGAAGCCCCAAAACTTTGTAAAATGACAAGTCACAGCCAGCGCAATCATTTTCCTAGCACTGGCGTTCAGCAGCAAAGGTTTGGCCGAGGAGACAATGAGCGTGAGGCTGCAATCGCTTCAAAAGCTCCTGGCCTTGAAGATGCACTGCAGCGCTTGTTCATGCTTGTTCTGCCTTGGCACGAGGCCTAAGTGTAGGATGGACCCAGCATCCAAATCGGAAAGAGATAGCTAAGTGGATGTTGTTCAGGCTGGAGCGAATTCTCGTCCGTCAGGGTGTGACTCGGCAGTGCTCAAACAAAGTGGTCCATACGGTGCCCAGTGGCACCAGCAACCTTCAGAAAGCTATGATCTTGGCAAGCCTGAGCAGGTTGCATGAAGCAGAAGTCTATTGAAGCTATTGTTCCTATTTTCCGGTGTGAGGCTTACATGCCTTTTTTTTTTTCTTTTTCTGGGGTTCCAGAATGGACAGCTGAAGCGCAAACGAAAAGCTGTGAGCGACGAAGGACACCCTGGCCACCGACGTGCTCGATGCCGTCTTCGATGCCATGCTGAAACCACTCCTGAAGCGTTTCAAGGACCGACATCTTCTTAGGGATTCCATGTGCACAATTCCGGGATCCAGGACAAGAGCGAGAAGTGCCGCGAGCTGGCCGTTAAGATTCTCCGCAGGCAACTGGCCATGGGCTAGCTGTCCTGAAATTGTAATCGCAAGCCGGCAAGTCCCAAGGCAAGCCCATGTCAGAGGCTTCTAGCCAGTCGCATGGAAGTCTGTGTTCAGACTCCGTAGCGCAAACGTGGCTGCCGTCCTCATGAGGGAGCAACTACAATTTTAGAGAACGATACAAGCAGATAAATTTCTTCAGCGAGCACTGGTTCCCTTCAAGGTTGTGTTGCCTCCGTATCCGTTAAACTTTGAGCAACAGATAAATCTAGGCCTACATGGAAGTTCCAAAGTGATTTCAAGGATTCAGGTGGGAGCTCCATTTCAAGGATTCTGACCCAACTGCCCTCAGTCTGGTGGAGAACACCTCGGACCTGGCGGCAGCACTGTTGGGGCCTGGGTTGTTCTTGTTTTTGTTGAGCAGCTTCAGCTTTTGCTCAAGGATGTCTGTGCTAAGGCCTTACATTTTTCCAACCCTGGTGTCCCGCCTTGGCTGCGAGGTGGCGAAGGGTTCTCGCAGGCAGGTAGCGAGGCAGTGTGATCCCCATGTCATATAGAATTTTTCGGTCGAAAGTAGCACGGCGAGCTGACCGCACGGTCTATCGTGTCAACGCTTGCAGGATAGGTTGGGGTGCAGAGGTTTTCACTACAGTTGCTGAGAATGATCTGCTTGAGGTTGGATGACCTGTAAGGTAAGGCTATGCCTGGAAGCCGTGTGTGTGTTGATTTGCAGCAGCTGCAGCTGGTGCGCAGGACTTAGATGGTGTTGCACACCTACCAGAGGTCCGCAGGGGATGTGACGGGTTGTGGAGACGACAGCTGACAGCGGGTTCAAGCAGTTCTACTAGGCTGCTAGCTCTCAGAGTTGTGACGCCAACAAGCTGACCATGGCTAGTTAGGACTGACCAGGTGCATGCAGTCTGAGTGAACCCCAAACGCTGCGCAGATCATGCGGCCGGATCCGGAGCAGAAGCCAACGGAGATAGCACGGCCTGTGGAGGACTGAGAGGGAGAACATATGGTGTACGACTTGCGATGGTTGCAAATTGAAGGGTCAGACCACACTTGTGTGGGAACAGCAGATGGTCCCTGTCTTCTGCTTCTCGCAGGCACTGTCAACAGAGTTTGTGTGAAGGATAGTGAGGAGGTGCGCCTGGAGCTTGGCCACTTCGTTGCCTCGCTGTTGCAACGGCGGCTCGGCCTATAGCCTTGCACATGTTTTTGTATGCGACAGGCAAAGCTGCCAAAAAAAACTACCAAGCAAGCAGATGGCAAACGTAGCATGTTCACGTGGCATGATGACTGGCCAACCCAGGTGCAGTCCCATCCAGATCTACTCCTACATTGACGAGGCTTCCTTTTCAGGGCGACCAGTCGGGGAAGGGCTCCTGCTGCAATTGAAAGTTCATTGAGAAGTGGAAGTCCACAATTAACTGTGAGGCGACCGGCCTCATCCGCGCCCAAGCAATGGATCCCTTTCACGGGGTGAAGGCCTGCAGAGACAGCACACGGCACAATTTCTTGACAGATGCGGCTTTTCTTGTAGCTTTCCACATGACTCGTCCTTTTGCTGATAATTCATTGTGTTGACCACATCCAGGTCTCCAATTTGCATAGACTTGTCTTCAGAAGCAGAAGCAGCAGTCTGCAGTTGCAACATCGCAGGCTCAAAGAACACAGCAGCGAAGCACGTCGCAGCTTTCAGTTCTTGCAGCTAGCTTGTTTTTGAAGCTTGGGTCGGCAGGCAGAGTTAGCCGCATAACCTGTCGAACTCCCATGTGAGGGGCTCTCGAAGCCGCACAAGTAGAGACCACGTGACCTTCAGTTTTGGATTCATATTTTAGAGAGTCTGTCAGAGGTGTGCGCTTGACCAGGCTTTGGCCTGCGAGACCATGGTCACCTTCTGTTGCTCGGCAGGGATGGCTAAGAGCAAGCCCAGCTTGCTGGCTGTTTTGAGTGCCTTTTTTCGCCTTGGTGTGGTTGCCTGACAGCGGTGCCAACTATTACCTGGAAGCTAAGCTGCAGGCTACAACAACACGGAGATGTTACTGCACTTTGCTCTCCCGCTTGCTCGGTCGCTCACGTGCTGAGCTTGGCAAGGGTCGTAATTATAGTGCGGAAGTGCAGGCTCTCCCATTGGAATCCTGTAGCTCTGGACTTCGTAGCCCAATTCCGTCTTGACCATCTAGACTTTCTTGCTTTGAAGCTCTTGCCAAGGTCTTGCCTTACTCACAACCATGCTAAGCTACGCATAGCTGGCCTGCGTGCCATCACCGCCTGCCTCTGGTGCGGCGTTCGGAACTCAGACGGCAGCATCATTTTGGAAGGGGGAAGAGAGTCGTCTCAAGAAAAGCGACTGAAGTCACAATGCCCATTCATCCTGTGATGTGAGGGGGCAGGCAAATGTTGGAGCGGAGTAGGCTCACGGCACCACTAGAGGCAGTAGGGATAAGCGTGAAGCTCATCGCTGCGTTTTGTACGGCTCCTTCTGAAATCTGCTTGGCAATCATAACTCAAAGTAAGTCCATACAGACCAGGTACACAAGTTTTGCAGCGCAAGCCAGCAAGCACCTGCACCCTGTCGCACACTGTCATTGCAATTGGCTGCATGGTTTCATGTTGACGTGTTGTTTCAGACATACACACACAGAGCTTCAGAAGCTGCAGCCTGTGCACGAGAAATCCAGTGAGTAAGCGTGATCAGCGAACCCCAAATTGCAGGGCACCCAGGACCTCTCAGGCTCTCAGGCGCCCATAGACCCAAAGACCGCAAAGTAGCGTGGGAGGTCTAAGGGATGTCATGGGCGACCTGTTGGCAAGCCGCCTGCTGCAACAGGTTTGGAAGCATAACTTCGAGATCTTTGAGGTCCTCATGGCGTGGCAGGATCCCAACAAGGCAGATCAGAAACCTTTCAGGGAAGGCCGCTTACAACTCTCGTAGCCGCAGATGCACGCAACCCCTTGCAACGACAGCCTTGTTGTTTTGATCATGGCAGCATTTTTGTTTTGTGAGTGCGGGAATGCAGAAGCTGCCTCTGTCGTGCAGGTTCCGATCAAAGCTTTCTACGAGGGTGTGACCAATGCAGCTTGTTTTCAACTGCTGCAGTTCTCTACCGAGACGGCTTTTCAGCACTCACAACTCCTTGACTTTAAGCTCTGCCAGCCCTGAATTCAATTTCCCGCCCAATTCCCAAATCCCCATCTTGCCAAAGGTAAACTACATGTCCACACTGAGCTTCGATCGCCACCCGGCTGTTCGACGCTTCTGGTTCGAGACGCTGGCATACTGGATGCTGCGCTGTGTGGACAAGGCTTGCCAAGTAGGAGGCAGAGACGTCAAGATGATGGCACTTGTTGGTGGTGCCAGAGGACACTACTTGTGAACATGGACCCACATCTTGGGGTGGTGGACAGGCATACCAATGCTGTCAATTATGTTGTGACTTGTTTTGCCAGGGCACCTTGATGGCCCAGGAGCTAGCTGGTATCTCCGAGTTCAGGTTCTGACCCAATGCAACTCAGGTCGTAAACTGCAGCGTCTGTACCAATACTTGTCCAGAAACCCTGTAGGCTAAAACTATCAAGTGGGCAAACAAGGTAGCAAGCAATCTAGGCCTGCTCGCCACCACGAAGAACATCCTTGCCTGAATTGCAGGTTGACTTGGAACCCTACATCGCGCCTTATCTCCTGACCGGCCTGTGCGACGAGAACGAGGTGCAAAAGTAACGTCTTTAATGACTTGCAAGGTTCTTTGTTCTGAGCTACCTCCTAACTCTAGTTGTCCTTGCGGTCAAGTGCTTGTGGAAGCAGTGAGGAGATCGCTTTAGAAGTCTTCTGGCTCATCGAGCGAATCGGCGAGGCCTATGAAGAGGAGCACGAGGAGGACCAACATGATTTGCTTTGAGTTTTTCAGTGTCTCTCCTCATTCCAGCAGCGCTGAATGGGATGTGTGCTGGCAGTGGGACGTCTTGTCCAGACAGGTGTAACAGCATGCTTTCACAGCGATGAATGTGTCGAAAGCTGTTCACAGTCTTTTGCGCAGGTTCACGCGGCTGCGACAGGTGAGTAGTATTTAATTTGGGGATACTATTGTACCCAATGATATAGAGTAAGATTATATCCTCCTTTTGGGGTAGTATAAAGGGATATAATCTTACTGGGTTCAACCACCAAAAAAAACGCTGCTCAGGTGTTGTGCTAAGGCTTAGGGCCTCTTGTCCTGCTCTGCAGGATTTGCGGAAGACAAAGCAATATGGCGCCTGGTTTCCAACGGAGTCCTCAGTTAAGCTGACAGTCGACGTGAGCAGGTGGTTCAGGTAAGTCTTAGTCTTGGCTGCATGCTGCAGCTAAATTAAATTGTGTGTGGGCCAGCTGAAGTACGCTTCAAGCATGTGAGGCTTTGACTACTCCTGGACATACAGCGGACGTGCTTTTGTGCCCTTTCCGCTCCAGGCGTCAGTGCACTTAAGTGCTGAGTTGGTTCTAGCATTGTCTAATCGTGTGGTGGGATGCTGTTGGTTGCTGTTGTGGCACTCCTACGAGGCGAGCCTCATTTCGTACAGGAGCACATATCCCAAACGATGTGACTCCTTGACTTGGACTTGACCGATTTGGACGTTGCCATTCTGTTTGTACTTGTTGTCCCTGCAAACAGAGTGAAAGTCGATTTTCATTGAGTGCGCTCAGATGCGGGAAAAGCCGTTGACAGGAATTAACCTCCCCATGCGAAGCTCCAGCAATCTGATGGCAGGGCATTTGGGGTGGCGGCTCGTCTGTCCCAAGACACATCAGGCGAAGCAGTTGCAGTTGAGCAGCGTCTACAGGATGTAAGGCAAATGCTTCGAGTTTGGCCTGCCGGGTGTAGTCTTGTATTCGCATAGGCACATATGGTTGTGCCCTCTGTTCCCAGCTGTCTGCCCTCAATGGCACAAGCAGGCAAATCTTAGAATGTCTAGATCGATATTGTACGCAGCGCACATATTTCTTTTACAGAAGGCTTGAGAAGCCAGGGATGTTTTGCATAGCCGCAAACGCAGTCCATTACTCAAGGTATGCATCGCTAAGAATTGTAAACTGACAACAGTATATAGGCATTTGTGTTGAAATTTGGCAAGTGTCAGGAGAGCGTTGTTTTCGACCTGCTGTCAGTAGAATTCTGTGAGTCTTTCTACGTCAATTGCGGTGTAGGCAGGCGCACCAGATGCGTAGCAGCTTTGTCCGAGTGTATGTGCGTAGAATCCTAGTATAACTTTGTGATACGTCAACCCTGAATTTTCCCAGGCACCGCACCACTCTTCAAGCAAGACCTGAGCCTGGAGCCCCTGATCCTAAAGAACATCTTCCAAGTCTGCCGCGCAGGCGTGCTGGAGCACAGGGCCCTGACTTCCTGGGACAACGCCCTTTGCCGGCGCACCAGCATCGGGACGCGAACCCGGGCGCATGCAGTAGTGAAATCGCGGAAGTGGCAACGATGATGGTGGTCTAGTAGTCGCAGTTGCAATAAGAAGAAGAACTGCTGACTACAACTTCTTTTGCTACTTTGCAAGCTCGAACGTCAGCACAGACAGGAGAAGCTGGCTGGTGAGGCCGAAGAGGAGGAGGATGCCGAAGAAGCGACTTGGCGTGTGGGTTTGTTGTCTGACATCGGTGCGGGGTTGTGACAGGAGTCACTGTCATGCAAGGTCTAGAAGAAGGCTAATGGATGATATTTCAGTGAACGATGGCAGGAGATTTTGGTAGCAGCACACACCAGATTTTGATGCGATTGTCTTTGCCATCACTTCACTTGAGCGTGCTTAATCCGCGGCATGGAACAAAACCTGTGAGGACGGGGCGGTGCCGGATGCCCGCTCCTTGGGAGCTCCCACAGAGCTCCCAAGTCGTCACCCGGTGTCTTCAAAGGGAGGGACTGGAGGACGAGCTTGTGAAGCCATAAACCATGCCAATGCTCTGTATATATCTGTCTGAATTCCATGGCACCCAAAGTCGCAAGTCAGCCTTCCAGGGCGTCTGTTCTGAGGCGACACCTGCTGGCCGGACGCTTGTCTGCATTCGACGCCAAAGGCAGGTTTGTAGCTCCAGTGTTGAGATCCAGGGTCCTGGATGGCTTCCTTTAGACAAGCGCAGGACACACGGGTCAAGGCAGGAGGATCTGTGTGAAGGATGTCAGAACTGAGTGGGGAAAAAGGATTGGTTGTAGCAATGTAGCACATTGTAGCTATATCATCATACTACTACTCCGCCATGATTTGATTCCGGATGTGCCTGCACCTGTTGCTCGCGTCCTCTGATTGTGATGTCGAACACAAAGATTCCACAAAAAGCGCATGAGTGGCTGGTGTGCATCCCGAGCATGGTGAATCAGAGTGCAGGGGTCGGGCAGGGCCCCTCATGAGTCCTTGGTGCAGACTTGATATGGTGCAGACTTGATATGGATTGTCCAAACGCGAACTGGAAAGTCCAGGTTGTCTGCTGGACTGGCCTCAGTTTGTTTGACGCAGTCTTGTTACTGTAAGGACTTTCGGCAGCTTGCAGTGTATCGTCGCCTGCCGCGGCCGCGGCTGGGCTCGCGGTCCTGGGTGCGTTTCTCAGGGGCTTGTTACAGAAGACCGGCAGACAGTATTAAAGCCGTGCATGCAACAAGGCAGGTTTGGCATTACCTGCAACTCTTTGTTCCCCAAAGTCCTTAGGTGCGAACTCACAGCCGCCGCTTCATCAAGGCGGCCGAAGTACAGCAAGCTTCCTGCAGTTTTGGGCCGAGGATAGGTTGGAAGGGTGGCAAGGCAAATCCTTGGGGCACTTGGTTTTGCTCTACGAACTCAGCATCAGGTATTCTGCAGTCTGAAGAGCGCCTCAGCAGAAGAAGCATAACCCTTAGGCGGACATTTCAGCATGTTCAGGCCACTTTCAATGACGTCGTCGACTTCCGAGACTTGGTTGCTTTTGATTCTATCGTTGGGCAGCTCGAAAGATTAATCTCCAAACAGTAACTACCCGTGACGAGGGAATCCCATGCCGGCATTGGATGTCACTCGTGACTTTTGGCTGGGTATGGAGAAGGGAATTTCTGCCCCAATGGGGCTAAGTGTCTTGCAGCCGTTCGTGTTCCCTGGTGAGCTGCAGGCGACTGCACATCACTGAATGCCGGCCGTCTGCTGTGCATGTCCCTCGCGTACACAGAAGAAGGCATCGGGGTAAGCGCAGTCTGTCTAGTGTTGTTTCGCCGAAGCCAGAAGCCCCAGCAGCAGTGAATGCTCCTAGCATGTGCAGCCGCAGGTGTCACAGAGTGGCTGCAGCCCATGATGGCAACCCTGGTCAAGTCACTAGGCACCAGGGATGGAGAGGTCCAAAATGCAAGGCTGCATTCTCCAGAAGCCCTCAAGCCATTCTTTGCACAAAGCTCCCGCAAACGTGTTCTGTCAGTGTCCGCGCATACATTATCGCGTGCAAGCCTTCGGTGAGTTCTTTGTGCAGATTTTATGTCAATTAGTGCCCGTCTTGCTTCTCCGGCGTGCTTAGAGTGGAGCGCGCATGATCAGTTGTCCAGTTTTCCTTGTCCATAACATAGTTAGCCAAGGTTTTATTCTGGGCGGGCCTGGGCGGCCGGTGATCCCAGGCAGTGAATTCCCCACAGTGCTTAAATCTTTTTCTATAGCTCTTCAGAAGGAGGAGGTCTGCTAAAGTTCCTCCTGGGACGGTTCCAGGTGATGTAAGCAGCCAGAACGTCCTTGAGCAAGAGCTCTGGGCGGAGCTGAAAGCCTCCAAGCAATCAGTGAGGAGTTGTGCCGCATGATTCTGGTTAGTAGAGCTGATGTTCCACAAGGCCACCCACTGCCCATGGAGCAGCATTTAGAATATTCACGCCAGGTATGTGTTGCAGCTTCTGTGGTTGGTAAAGCATAAGTCGTAAAGAATTGGTTGATGGACTGTATGTTTTAGGAGTCCAGAACAGATGGCTCACCTCAAACAACATTTGTGACACTCCATCAGCGGACCTGACCAGGGCCATGCAGACTTACAGCACCGTGTGCAAGTTGCTGGGTGCCTTTTTGGAGCCGGCTTCATTGTGGACGCAGCTGAGGCACAGTTTCCGCAGCGCCCAGGTGTTTCAGAGCTTGACAATTGCGAAGTTCAGCTGCCCTAGCCTTTTATGCCTGTTAATCCATGACGCAACACTTCCCCTGCTTTGGTTCGCAGGGGTGCCCTCGATGCGGACTCGACCTTGGCAGCTTGGTGCAGCAGCCGAAAGCTGAAGTTTAAATTCAGGCTGGTGCGATTTCACCCCCCGCGCGCCTTCCAAGCTTTTGACACTTTGCCTTTGGAGACCCCACTTTGGCAATCTGAGGATCTAGATCAGCGCATTGCCAGTGTCCGGATCCTGGCCATGGCGCTCGAGGGGCATGTGGAGGCAGTGCTAGGTTTCAGATTTCAGACAGCGACAGGGCGTGACGACCATGAATCATGGCCCACCATGTAGCCCTCATGCTGAGACTGGTACCTTGAACGACCCGGCCAGGTCTTGCAGAGCATCCAGCCCCCGGACTGCTTGAGATCACTGTGGGTCCTGGGTAGAAAAGCAGGCATGTAAAGCATGACCTTGTGTATGGCCCCAGATTTCTTGCAATGGTCTGGCACTGTCCTGGCTTGGCTTGGGTCCTCTTCCCCTCCTTATCATCCTACATCCAGCGGTCCCCTGGTCCTTTGGTCCGGTGGTCCCGTGGTCTTCTGATCTTTTGGTCCTCTGGGTGGTCACGAGGTCCCCTGGTCCATTGGTCCCTGGTCTTTGGGGTGCCCATCATCATTTCCGTCAGATCATCTGGGGGGCCAGGGCTCTCCCCAAAAACAGCCCGCCGCTTCTTCAAGCCGTGCATACTCCGTGCATGCTTGCTTCCCCTCATCATTTTTTTTTGGAATTAATCGTTCGTGCATGCTTGCTGCGTGCTTCAATTTCACAGAGCAGCACGCAGGAGCTGGATGCAAAACGACGGATCATCTCATCATCACGTATTTGCAAATGGATTGTCCCAACCCCCTTCCTTTCGTTAAAGCCGTGCGTGCTTGCCTCGCCGAGCAGCAGCATGTGGGCACCATGCAACAGGACGAATCATGGCATGACCATACATTTGCAAGTGATCATCCAATCATCATTTGTTTGCAAATGGGGCGCTGCGCCCCCCAATCCCCGCTTGCCCATCATCAGATATCTGCAAACGGGAGGGAGCCGCACCGCCCCCAGCGCGCTTCTTCAAAGTCGTGCGTGCTTGCGTCACATGGCAGCATGTGAGCACTCTGTGCGCCAGAAAGAACTGATCTTCCAATCATCATTTGTTTGCAAAGGGGTTGTGCCTTCTCACAGCCTTTCCGCTTCTTGAAAGCAGGACGTGTTTGCCTCGCTTTCTGGGCATTGCGGAGTCTTTGCACAAACCCCAGGGCTCAGGATTTCAGTGCAACCATTCTAACAGCAATGACAAAAGCATCAGTGAGCTTGATAATGCGAATGATAGCGATAGCCATAAGAACAGCGCCAACGATATCAACAGTAATAGCACAAGAAGAACATTAACAGAGTTTGCGCTACAATAACAGCAGCAAAACAACACAGCAATAATCGAGTACAAGGCTCTTTGGAGTTAGCCCACTCTGCTCCCAGGGAGCTAGTTGAAGGAGTGGAGCGTTGCAAGACCAGCAAATGCCGTAACTTGCAGCACTTGAATGCATTCCTGGGTCAGCAGATGCTGCGTAATTTGAAGCAGTTGAAGCGTTCCAAGAGTGGCAGATGCTGTAATTTACTGAGCGTTCGCAGCGTTCCAAGACCAAATGCTGGAATCGAGGCGTTCCAAGGCCAAAAAATGCTGTAATCTACAGCAGTTGAAGCGTTCCAGCCCCAGAAAAGAGACAACCGCACTTTGCAAAAAAGAGAGGAGGGCCACATGTTTGCCAAAAAACTCCGCCGCGACTGTGCTCGAACCTTGAGATGCAGCCCTTTTATGAAGCTGCCAGGACCCCTCGCTGCGGCTGGGTCAACTCGAGCCCGTCCTGCCAGAGCTGATTGATGCTAATCATAGCATTTGATGAGAGACCCAGTAGAAACAGCATTATTAGCCGCCATTCGAGAAAGAGCTGGTACGGCTTGTGGTAGGAGTACATGAGCTTAGAAAACACCGCAACGCAGCTGAGCATGGCTGATCTTGACTCGTGCAGGCCTGGATGCATAGGCTGAATGGCATACTGCGTTGTAACAGACCTGTGAAATTTGACAATCTGATTTTTCAGCCTCTGAGGATGCAATCCATTCTTCAGACTTGCTGCTTTCACCAACGCCGGAGTCACGGGAGGCAACATCGTTTGCTTGTTGGATTTCTAGCTCCTATTTGTGTGTGCTTTGTTCTAGGCGATGTGGATGGTCCTCTTCGCCTTCCTCGAACCTCTCCGGGTTTTCCTCACGGAGCGCACGGAACGGACGCATGTGTTGAAGGGGAGATAAGGGGATCTCGTGCTTATAGCGTGACGGTGCTGGGAGGAGTCGCAAGTTTCTCAGCTGTTGTTCATCTCCCTGGCACTGGCATCAAAGGCGGGGAAGGGAGATTGGTCAGGCGATGAAGTTTTGAAGACGGCCATGGTTTGCCTTTGGGTATCTCCATTTCTATCTTCCGTGCTTGCCCCAGGCTCCCGTGGAGGAGCTGCCGGAACCCTCCAAAACCAAGAGGGCCGCGGCACCGAATCCAGGATGCACTTCAGGAGGTTTCCAGGACTTTGAGTATTCCAAAGAGCCTTTTTCTAACGTGGGGGCCTGAATCTAGCAACCAGGACCCAAGAACGTCAAAACTGCAACCAGCATGTTTGCCTGGATAGTCATGGTGATTTCCATGATCCCCGGTTGTAACAGACTTACAAGCATTCACTGGGCAGGAAGTGTAATGGCTGCTTTGAATGTGCCACGTTGATTTTCCTAACGCTCTTGAAGGTAATTTCCTGTAGGCAGTGAACTTTGTTTTCTGGACTGGAACAGCTGATGCACGTGAATTCCCAACCCTAAGCAACATGTAATTACAATCCAAGCTGCACGTAAGTTTCGAGTACAACTGGATTACCCCAAGTATTCGTAGGGCAGTTGGTGAGCCCACTTCATCTTACTTGTGCCCAGATGCGCTTAATTGCGTGCATGGAAAAGAGGTGATTGCCTGCCGTCTCAGGACTAGTCAGGTGGAGAGCGAGGCCTGTGGCGTGTTTGGGGGGCTTTATAGAAGGCTGCTGGATCCCTGTGAGAGGTTACTGCAGCTTGGCATGGGTACAGTAGGGGAAGCAGGTTGACTGGGTCATCTTGTGGTGTCGTCATAGAGCCGGATGTGTTGCAGAGACCGTGGCTCAAGAGGACGTGCCTTGACTTGAAAGCGACCGTGATGTGGTAGCCATCAGTTTTTGGTGCCTGGGCTTTTGTTGTTATCATGGTCCAATGTTTGGGCTCTCAGAATTAGTTTGGTTCAGGCATCACATGTTCATCTACGCCGTGCTCAGCCCAACATTGTGTGTAGTATTTCACCCGCGGCAGCTCGTGCGCTAGAAGGATCTTGTGTACGTACTACGTTGAATCCGAACATTAAGTACCATTGTCTTGCTCTCTGTGCAAACACTGTCCATGACTTGTACCGTTTCAAATCGTTAATAAGTATGCAGTCTAGCAAAGCATGCCTGAACCAACCTTCAAGCTGCAGGTCCCTCGCAGCCTTGTAGGAGCAGATCAAGTCTTGTAAGCTATAAAACAGAGGTTGCTGTGTACACGTGTCACGCTCAGAGAGCCACGCTCATCATCCGTAGAAGATGAGCTCTCCGCGGTTTGCATAGACTCCAACAATCCAAGCTGATGCAGCCCTTCAGGAAGTCTTGGACTCCCAACAGCTGGAACGGGCCCTGGCAGCTCTGAGCACTGGCCTGGTGGAGGCCGCTTTTCATTTTGGCTTCGAGAAGGTGTCAGATCAACGTCGTTGCTTTGCTTGGTAATCATGTGCCTGGTGGGACTTTGCGGAGTGTAGACCTGCCGCGCCCCCATAACATGCAACAACTGTTCCCTTGTAGTCCGTACATAGATGCTTGAAAGGAGAAGAGTGTGTTTGAAGGCACTTTGGGCTGACAGCTTTGCCTAGGTGCCGCGCGGTACCAGTAGCGCTCCACGCCATAATGTTGGCGCCGAGAGTTGCTGCAATGTTCGATGCGCTGCGTGACCAGGTGGTCTCTGTACTGCAGGAGCAAGAGCAGCAAGGACACCAGGTAGCGGAGCTGCAGAAGCAGCTGACCAAACAGCAAACGCGCAAGCCCTGGATTCAGAACTCCAGGAGCTGAGAGAGCTCACGGCGGGCTGCAATTCGCATGTTGAGATGCAGGCGGAGGAGACGGTGACACCACCGTTGCAAACGGCGCTTGGTCTCCGAGTGTGGATGCGGAAGCCCAGATTTGGAGCAACTGTCCAGGGCCATGGACATTACCAATTCTCTGCTGAAACACCCGTATGTCCGCGCAGCAAAAGCTGACGAGATTTCAAGAACTGAAGCAAGGCAGCAGGTGAAGGAGGTTCCTCCGCAGGATGGTTGAGAGGTTGGGGAGGTGACGCAGAGGAGTGCCAAGGTTGGCGAGATTCCAGCAATTGAGGCAATGCAGCAGGTGAAGGAGGTTCCTCCAGAGGATGGCGGAGAGGTCGGGGAAGTGACGCAATTGAGATACATTTGGCGTCCAGGTATGGACATCAGAAGATGGCCTCCGGTGAAAAGGAGTGACGTCGCAGGCTTTTCGAAGTGTGGCGAGGTTGCTGACGTATCTGCACCAAAGGAGGGCTGTGAAACTGGCTGCTGGTGGCCGGGTCTTCGATCCGAGACGCTCCGGGGCCGTCTGCTGAGTGGCAAAACTAGAGGGGTGCGCGCGCGTCGAGCCAGAAGCACCAGGGCCATGATGAGGGCCAGGAGATGTGGAGCGTCAACAAGAGTTATACAAGAAACGCACAGCGTACCCAAAAACCCTAACCCCCACGGAAGGCAGTCTTTTGCGCCAGGCATCTGAAGGCTCCGAGCCAACGGCTTCCCAAGGTCAGAAGCTGTGCGCTTATGGACAAAGATTTACACTTGCCCCACTTGGAGCTTCTTACGCGCCATTTTGGCCGCTCCTTCGGCTTCTCGTTGACGAGCCTAGCGCTTGCGTTTTTTATGCCCAGCTTCCTCTCTCAACCGCTGGGCTGCTGGGGAGTCCTTCAGGCTCCACGGTCTGCCCTTCATGATCTTGTCCCTCGTCGGACTGCCGTGCTCCTTCGTGAGGCCGTCCGCCTTGATCGTCATGCCAGGGACCCGCCAAACCCACTTGTTGCCCCCCTCCTCAAAGATGGACAGCTTGAGGATGGCGATGTCGATGGCTAGCCTTTTATCTCGCCGTTGCTGATGCTATTCAGCGCATTGTAGCCTGTTTCCATGATCAAAACTTCGCGCTTGTCCCGCGCTCCACCTCCAGGTCGTCAATGAGAACTCGGCGTCGTAGAGTCGTAGAGTTCGGCAAAGAGCGCTCGAGTATGGTCACGTTGCTCCATTGTTTCCGCTGCTTGACTAACCTCAGCAGCGAGGCTGGAGCGAACAACTCGTTTGCTAACTGCCGAGTGGAACAACAGACAGTTTACGATGGTGTCGGTTTCAAGGACACTCTCGTAGGCCACCAACACCATCATTCCACCTTGCGATCGCCCGCGTGGCGTAGCTCTGTGGGAGGCATCGCTGACGCCGAGGAAGACCATTCGTTCAAGGGAGCCAGCCAACTCTTGGAACACCACCGTGGGTGGCTCTTTTGCCCTCTTCACAAGCTGAGCCAATGAACGATCTCATGGTGTCCGGATCGCGAGCTCCCGACATCTGCTGAACCTTGGATATGCCAACGGCAAGGTTCCCCCTCCCCTGCCTCGCCATCCAGTCAGCTGGCCTTCAACAGATGCCACCCATTTCATTTCTTCTCGGAGTCGGTGAGAGGAGAACGATCTTGCCCTTGTCGAACTTTCAGCTTCGTGACATAGCCGCCCATCGTCGCGTAGACCTGAAAGCTGATGGGATCTTGGGTCTCGCGCCTTCCGGAGAGTTTGATCTTGCCGGACATGGCGTCTTTCCAGTCGCCGAACCGAAACAGTTTGGCTAGCGCCTCTTCGAAGGCCGGGCCCAAGGCCATTCGAAGATCATCAACACGCGCTGCCAGATTCCTCTGAACTTTCCGTCAACGTGAAGGACGAAGGTGCCAGGCGGCGCCAGCTTCAACTCCTTGAGTCCTATGCTTTCCAAACCACGTTTTAACTTGAGATTCCAACGCCGCAGGGATTCTGCCAACCCGAAGCTTCCTTTTTGAGTTTGACCACGTCTTCACGGACCGCTCCACCTATCATGGCCACCAACCTTTGCTTGAGGTGCTCGGACATTGTCTCCGGGTAGCCTTTGGGAACTTTAATGTAGATCACCTTATTGTCGTCCAGCGTCTCGCCCTGCAAGAACGCCGCCGCCGACACCTTAGCGTATCTCATCTTCCACTTGAGGTGGGCGCTCAGGAAACAGATGATGTTATGCGAAACTAAGCTAGCAGTCGGAGCTTCAGTCGCGTGTTGGCCCGCCTCCTTGTTCAAGTGATCACCCAGTGGGCCTTCAGTTCGGCCTCCTCCAAAGTCGCATTCCCATCAAACCGCGATGGCGGGATTTTTTTTTGAGGAATCGTCTTTCCAAAAACCACAGGTTCCAAGGCACCATTGTCCAGGTACACATCAATGGCTTTCTTGAGGGGCTCATTGAATGCCGACTTCCATTCATCCAATGCTTTCCACCGAAATTCAAGTCTCGGCCTTGCCGGGGCTTTCCCGTGACTGGTTCCTCCACCGTCGTTGGAAGTTCCGCCGACTCGTTCTTCACCTCCCTTAAAAACACGGTGTGGTGCTCCGTGTCCATGCCAAGTTGAGTGCAAGCAGGCCGTGATAAGAGTGGACAGTGGAGGGCATTCCCCAGGCGCAACACTCAATCCCGCTCGGCCTTCATCCAACGCCCTTCTGGCCTCAACCTTTTGATTTGCCGATTGACCCATTTGGTGCTTGCTACAGACTTCATGCAACCCAGATTGAGGATGAGACTTCTACACACTTCCCTCGTGGGCTCATGATCCACCATCGGACTATGATGTGTTCCCGCTTCAACAAAACAACCCCGAGGACCCTCGCTGGAAACACCTGTCGCGTCGCCTTCTGTGTATGCCGCCGCGGACGCAAGCAGGTCCCGCTGTCCCTTTTTATGGAGGGTCATTGGCCGCAGTCACGCGCGCTGCGTGGGTTCGCCCTTTCAGGGCATTCACGACTCCAGTGCCCCAGCTTCTGGCGCAGAAAGCATGCCTCCTTCTGCTGCTCCTTGATCCAGTTTTGGGTCTTCCTTTGTACTCCTGGGCATAAACCTCGGCCGGCGTGAAGAATTCATCCTCGTCTTCTCCATTCTTGCTCGCAGCTTCCGACAATGAAGAAGCGTCCTCCGCCTTCTGGCTGTCCTCGCCGAAAGCTTCACTGTGCATTTGCTCCGCCTCGTTGTCGTCTTCCAGGATTGAGTGGAAAACTGGGCGGAACTTCCGATACCCCTTGGCCCAGCGAACCTTGTACTCTCTGTCGTGCTTGTGTGACGCCTGTGGAGCATTGCCCGGTTCCCTTCCGCGCTTCTGCGCCGGGTACTCGTCCTGGTCAGGAGTTCTGGTTCACCTCTTCCTATCGGAAAGCCCGGCCTCCCCTCAAGCTGATCAGCCAACTCCAACGGCCTTCGCCGCCTTGAGTTCATCATGTAGTCCGCCTGCGGTGGTCCAAACCGTTGCCTCAGTTCTGGCGTTGATCATTTTCATGTCTGTAGATCGAAGCCCTGTTAATGAACAATTCCAAGGACTCATTGGGGTACCTGGCCAACTTCATGAACCTCTGCCTCTTCTTGTCAACCTCCTTGTGTCCCAGGAACCTTACTCATGTAAGCGTGACAATAATAAATCACCCCCAAAACTTGTTTTGCGATTTGGGCTTCTGGAGGGGGGGGGGGTCGCGCTAATAAATGACTGGGATGGCGGTAGGACTAGGTAGTGCAGCTCGTAGGACCAGTAGTACAAGCAAAAGGAAATCTAGTAGAATCGGGATATTTTGGGCCAGAAAAATCCATTTTTGTCACCCCTTTATTATTGCCGATGGACCTTAAATAGACCTTGTCCTGCTCCAAACTTGTTAGAAAGCAAATGTGATTGTCCGGGATTTTTCCGGCCCAGCAACTCAATGCGATTGTCGCCCCCTTTATTATATTAATGATATGCTTACATTATCGGCGACTTCTCCATTTCAGCCTTGATCAGTGCCACTCCATCTTCGCCGGGCACGTCCTTGACCGAAGGATGGTTCACTTCGCCGCCCTCTCCTTCAACTGCGCTCTAACATCCTCTGACACCAAACAGAACTCAACACTTCTCCAGTAATCCTTCCAAGACTCGCCCGGCTTCGCGCAAAAGAAAGGAGGAAACGAACTGTGGAGCTTCATGTACGAGCTTCCTCCAGGTGCTGATCCTCCCCTTTGTCTGCCCTGCCAAAGTCGTGCCTCCTTGACATTGCTGTCGAGCAGAATCAGGTAAGAGAGCTGCTGGTCCGTGACCATTGCTGGACCATCTGTCTGGCCTGCCGCCAGTACACAAGGAGTCTGCTCGTTTTTTGCGCAGAATTATGTAGAGGAGATCGTCCTTCACTCGGCTTCCTGGTAATCAAGAATCGAGAATCGTCGTGTCCGTCTCTCGCCGTCGCCGCCCCTTGACCTTGCTGTCACGGAGAATCGGGTCAGAGAGCTGGTGGTCGTCCGGGTCCTCGTCCTTCACTCATCTCCGCCTCGTGCGCATTCTCCTTTGCCTTCGCCCGCGGCCGGCCAAGAAGCCGTGGAAGGCACGTCCTCGACCTTGCCGGTCTTCCTCTCATGTCGAGTGTGGTGTGGTTCGAACGGGTTTTCATCCCAGTTCTCCTGCTTTCGATGCCGATGCCAACCTGGTCGGTGTTCATCTAGGTGACGGCCCCACGGATCAACCGACCAATCCTCTGAGCTCCAAGATTCCGAAGACCAACTCCAGGACCACTCGCTCATCGACTGAGCGCCGTCTCGGAATGCTGCATAGCTTTGTTCTGGCTGAGTTCCCTGTGCGCATCGACTTCCCAGTGACCCCGACACTGTAGGAGTCCAAGGCCGCTCGCTCACGCCCACCCCCAACAACGTAGTAGTTGACGAAGCTTCTTCACCCTTCGAGTCGCTGACCCGTTCCCAAACCTCTGGAGCCTGATGTAGTGATGCCGCCATGGCTCAAGCCAGGCTCTGCGTGAAGGTTCCTAAACAACAACCCCTAATTCCTGACAACACGATCCCCCTATATAGGGGTTCCGCTACCACAAGAAACGCGCAACGCACCCAAAAACCCCAACCCCCACGAAAGGCAACTTTTTGCACCACGCATCTGAAGGCTCCTAGCCAAAGGCTTCCCAAGGTCGGAAGCTGTACGTTTATGGGCAAAGTTGCACAATTATGACAGCTACACCTACGAGCACGGATCCAGGCCTGGAATGGCCGCAGCCCCAAGGGCGACCGAGGGGATTTGTTTCAGGAAAGGATCCGGGCATGGGACCAGGTCTCGAACCACCGTGACAGCAAGGAGTGGCACATTGAGCCATGGGGACAGACAGAGTCCTCTCGGTGGTGATGGCGACGTCCAAACTTCGCAGTGTTTTGAAAAGTCTCACCCATCTTCGAGCAGTTGGCCAAAAGTTGCAAGGTTGCTTGGACACCACCAGTTCGCAATGGATCCAAAATTGCGGGGGGTGCCAAAGAAGGAGTGAACACCAATGTCGATATGCATCAATTGCAAGGCCCCAAATCTCAGATTCTGCTCGTTCAAAATCCTAAGATGTCCGAAGCGTAAACCCTTCGACTTTCAATGGAGGTGACATCCAGCCTTGATTCCTTGGATGACGATTTGGACTTGGCCCTGACCTCAAGTGCTTGCTGTACAGTTTGTAAAGCTTCTACGCCTTTGTAGCCACCAATGAAGGTTTCTGCTTTATGTTGCAGAGCCGGGACAGGCTTCAAAATCCCAACAATGATGCAATAATCGGAAGTTTGAAGGATGTTGGAAAGCTTTTATGCTTTTAGCCCAGACTTCGCGTCCTTTTGTTTGGCTGGCGGTTTAACTTACCCACGAGAGTCATCAGATTTGCTTGCGAGTGGCCATTTCGTGCGTGAGATGAGCTGGTGTGTAGTCAGGTGTGGCAGTCGCAGTTATCAGATGTGGTTTCGAGTAAACAATGGGGCTTCGTGTCCGCTTCAAGTGTGTACCAGTAAATTTTCAAGGCCGTGACAGGAACTGAAACATGTCAACTCCTTGCCATTTTCTGTTGCGAAGCTTGAGTGCATCCCAACACGACCAAGGCAACGGATATGCCGCCCTTGCAGCGCTTGTTTGAGAAGGCCTTGAGCCACGTCCCATGGCTGAAGGGCTGCCAACGAAGGGATTTTTGTCACAAGTCGATCTTATTTATTTGTTTTTTTTTGGGTTCTGTTGGTTCGTGCATGCATGGATGAGTGTCACCGCACAACAGTCAAATCCCTTTTTTCTGCCAATGTCGTTTGGAAGCCTGTGAACACACGTCAGTGTTCGCGTGGAAAGCGTATCAAGGTCCTGGACCGAGCGGAGGATTCTTTCCAGGCAGCACGACATGATTACAGGTAGGTGCCAGTGCCATGGATTTGAAGAGTTTGCGGGTTGGACTCAGACATGGAAGCTGCCTGGTTGCTTCAACTGTGTGCGCTGAAGGGTGTTCAGCCATGTTTGCCAACAGGGCTTGGAAATTCTCAGGTTCAATTGGGTGGATTCTTTTTGTGCACGAACCTTTGCTTTGTATTTGTTGTATTTTGTTGTAACGTATCTTTTGCCATGGCAAGAGTCCTCGCACTTATGTTAAGGCTGTACTTGGGGCCTCACCTCGTTGTTTGGTTTCTAGGTTTGTTGAAGCTTGTGTTCCCAATGCCAGCTGGAAAAAGGCTCAACGTAGCACATGTGGCGTTGAAACTTGGACAAGATTGGGCGGTCAGGTCTTCCGAAGCGTGCTGCATCTGAGTCCAGGCGAGGTTCTGCTGAAGGCTGCCTGCAAAGGGTCAGTTGATTTTTTTCTTTGTGCTGTACTCTTTGACCATTTCCTGCTGGACTCCTGAAGCATGAGCAGTCTCCATGAGCCCGAAGCATCGAGCAGACATCGAGTCGGCTGGCATCGCCTGATCTTCCAGCGCCAAGCAGCTCTTAACATCCTTTTTGGCAGGTAGCGCATCGGGAGCAGATTCTGTCGCTCCTTGCCGGCTTCGCTGGCCTGGCCCCTGGGTGCTGGAACTTCAATCTCAACAGACGCAACGCAATATCTTTGCAAAAACTTTGAGGTACTGCCTCAGCGCCGGAGACGCGTGCTGCGGCGCAGGCGAAGCAGCAAGACGGGGCTCAGATAGGTTTGGTTTGATTCTTCGTAGCCAAACCGGCAACTGCTCATCATCCTCACCTGCAGCTGTCAGGCTCTGGGCGTGCGCCTAGCCCTCCGAATTGCAGAAGCTGGTGGCAGCGGATTTGCCGGGCAGGCGAGCCATTGGCATTGATCAGCCTGAAGGTAACACATGGAGCCCAAGAGCACCCACAGAGGGTTGAGCTGTTTGATTGCTGCCACCACAAAGTTGTCAACTTCATGCTAGCTGGACACTTGGCACCCATGTCAGCTTGGGCTGCTTCTGTGCTTTTTGCTGCCCAACGCCTTGTACTTGAGCTGTGGCCTGGGACACAAGTCTGTTAATGTCTTGCCGGTCGGTTGCGGCATAACAATAATGTGGTTGGAGAGAAATGTGCCTTGCTGGCACCGCACCTTGCACATCTGCGGTAGAATGCTGCAGAACGCAAACGAATGAATCAAGATAGTTTGCTAAAGTCAGCAACTGAGTACAGAAGCTCGATCACAGAAATTCTGGCTCTTGCAAAAGTTCCTCCCTTGCTCCTGGAGGTGCTCCAGCTCTTGGGCACGGCGCTTATACAGGCTTCACAAGGTCCCACCTACCGTGCCCTGTCGGCAGATGTGATTGTGTCTGGATGATGATGTAAGGATGATTAAAGCCCTCCTTCCCTTTTCTTATTTGACATTGCTGTCACAGTGGATGATGGATGAGTCCTGCTCCTCTCGAACGAAAAGGACCCAAACCTGTGCAAATCGCGGTGATGCGGATTGGCGTCCTGCTTGTACTTCCCTGATATTCACCGAAGCAGCAGCCCGGGCCAGTGTTGGAAGAACTTGCGCCAACATCCCAGCCTTGTGGAAGCCTACCCAGGTGCCCTGTCAGTGCCTGTGGCCTTGGCGGGATGTGCGGCGTGGCGACGCTTCTTCCTGCGCCAGGGGGTGCCCTTGCCAGGGAAAAGGGACATCATTTTCTCTTGGGCCTGAGAGCAACCCAAATTTTGCAATCATACGAACCGTGACAGGCGCGGTACGAGGCCTGCACAACAGTTCTTAAAATGAGGCTCCTATGGAATTTGACAGTGACAATCCTGTGACAATTCCCAAAATGGAGTCATACTCTGGATTCAGTCACTCAAGGCGCATTTGGCTTTCGCTCCGCAGGCTGGAGACGAAGGCCCTGGTTTGCTGAATACGCCTGAAAGCTCTCACATGATTGACGGTCTTGCCATTGCTCCTGGTGCTACCTCGATGATTGGGAAAGTTCCTCCTGACAATCGAGCAAAGTAAGGGATGGCTGTCAGTGCATGTCACGTAGGTGCAACAGGCACAAGGGAACAGCCGTCCTGGTAGCAGCAGTGCTATTATGGCAGTTTCTCTGTAGTTGTTTCAATTTTTCACAGGCAGTTCTGTTCCCAGACAAGTCAGCTTGTCGTGCTGTGATCATTTTGGGAGGGTTCCTTTCAGGTGACTTGTGTTAAGTCAAGGATAGTCTAGCGTGGATCGCCGAGTCGGAGAGCTTGAAAATTCCTACTGCCATTTCAGACCTTAAGCAGCCCTTACAGTGGCCATGCAGGATCCAGCATTCTGCAATGGATGCTGTCGACCTTTGCGGACCAGGACACCAGGATGTGATACTTATAGGTCTGGAACAGGGCGAGACATCAATGTCTTACAAGAATGAAGACTGAAGACGGATGCTCATTGTGGAGCTTGCTGCTTGTCACAGCCGGAGTTTGAAAAGACCAGAAGAGGATGTTGGCATGATGCAGTCTTTCAGGCTGTGGCCGCCAGTCTCCTCCTCCTGTCAGGAGCTTTACAAGCGCCTTCACCTGGCCATGGAGCATGCGGAGAAGGCCTGCACCCAATTCGAAGAACTTGTTTGCACAGTCGCATTCTGCTGTTTTTCCAGCAAGCATTTGCCAAAACATTGATACTTTGGGCGAGTTGGTGCACTTGGTGAAGGTCGCAAAGTTGTCAAGCAGCATGAATTCCTATGTTGAACTGTGTGTTGTGATAATTCTGCTTTGAATTCCTGTCCAGATGTCTGTCGAAGAAGAACCAGTTGTTGTCATTGCTGGTACCGCATTGAGATACGACAGACGCATCGGGAATGCATTTACCTATGTTAACAGCTACTTGCCTTTTGTCCGATATGTGGGAACTGAGAGATACCTTGCGTCCTCGCACAGTAGCAGAATATTCTTGCGTCGGTTCATTCGTTAAAATGAACACACGCGGCCGAACGAAAGGCAGCCGGTCCAAACCAGAAAAAGTTAGTCGGACGTGAGGGTTCTCATCATGGAGCAAGTGTCAGATTTGCCAGCTGATCCTTTGCAGAGTGCCGGACAGGTGCTGACAGGGTCCAGCCAAGAAGATTGGGTACTGGAGAAGGCCGCTTTCTGTCAAACAGCAAAGAGTTCGTGACAAGTGGCTCCCAAGTGCTTGGTGGTTCAGGCTAGGGCTCGTGGGACCAGGGTGCTTTTAGGTTGTTGTCGTGCAAGAAGCTACTAGGGGTAGAGGAAAGTCCTAAAAGGACATCTCGGGAACAACTTTAATCATTGTACATCTCGGAACGTTTTAGAAACCAGGAAGCGAGAAAGAAGTTACTTTTGAAAAAGCCGCAACTGAACACAATTCAGCTCACATCCCCGACACAAAGCTAACTGGGCGTCTTTTGTCAGCCTTACAGTACCATGCCTTTCAATGCCATCAAACAATTTGCATGGAAAGAAGCTGCTGTTCAATATTTTCAGAACTTACACAGGAACAAGCTCGGCAAACCTCTGCCATTTCCGACAATTCTCACCTTGAAGAAGCTCGAAACCCATGAGGCCCTCCTTCTTGCCCTTGAGGGGAACATGCAACAGCAAGCACCCCTTGTCCGAGGCCAGGCAAATCCGGCTCGAGTCAGAGAGACAAGCAGTTTCTCGCCGATCCTTTAAGGGACACGCCCTAGAGGTGCTTGTAGGTACCTGTTTTTTTCTGTTTTCTGCTTGGGTGCTCGTAGGTTATGCATGATGGTAAGAGGTGTTGACATGGTAGTGCCACCGCTTCTGCGGGTTATGGCTTATGCCTTAAGAAATTGGCATCGTTGCTTTTGCTTGTTCGCTGAGGTTATCTATTCACTTGCGTTGGAAAGGGTTTCCAGCTTGAACTCAGCAAGGCTGCTGCTCATACTTTTGAAATTAGCTGCCTGTTTTTTTTTAATTGGGCTGATGGATTGGCACAGGGAAAGCTGCAGGGTCTGAATTGACGTGTCCTTCTCCTCCTGCAGGCGTCCCACTGCAAACAGTTGGCAAAGCAGATGTGAGTTTTTGAGTGCCTTTGGCCAGTTTCTAAAGCAAGGTGTGTTTTAGAAGTAGCAATGGATGTTGATACATCAAAGAGGGTCAAATAAAGCCTGTATGCCCTGCCAAGGCAGTGCTCAGGGGGGCTGCAGCTTCAACAGCGCTTGTGGCACTCCGGCAGGGGCTACTGGGCGGCAGGATGCGGCAGGATGCGGCAGGTGGCAAGGGCCTGGAGCAGTTTGGTTGTTTGGCTTGAGGGGGCTGCGGTCTGAAGAATGTTCGCTTTTGTTGCGGTCGCTTCAATTAGACCATCAGCTGCGCGTAAAATCGCTTAAAGCAGACACTGCTTGTATACCCCATATAAGCCACCTCATGACACCCCTCTACACACCGCTTCAGGTTGAGAGGGTTTCAGGATCGCAGCAAGCACAGCCTTCGGTGCAGAGCAGCAGTTTTGTTGGCTTCCTCTCTGGACAGCTTGGCTAAAGATGTGTTTTCTATACTTGTTGCTTTAGTTTGCTTGTTTCTTTCACTTCCGCAGTGGTTCTGTTCAGTCTCTGCTGCGCGACTGCCCAGTGCCCAAACAAGCTGATGTAGCAACATTTGGTTAGCTAGCCGGTCCTGCGTCTCCATTTGCTCCAGGATGGCGTCAGGCACCTAATTTTCAAATGCATCTCAAGGACTGGTTGGACAGGCACAAGCAGATAACAGATGCTTGTTGTGGCTGAATCTCGTGTCGAAGTGTAGATTGTTGAGGTCAGAGACCTAACGCTTATGCTACAATTTAGTTTTACTGTAGGCCCGCAGCCTTTGACTCCGAGGCTGCGAACACTGAAGAGGGCTCCTTGGTCTGCGGAAGGAGGCCGTAAGCTTCATGGGCCCTTCAGAGTCGGCCCGGTGTTTCCCAAAGAGTCCCGAACTGGCTCCAGTCTTTTTTTTACTTCGGTTCTTTTCGATGATGTCGGAGCCAGGCCGCTCTCTCTTCTTGGCAGTTGCCTCCACACTTGGCGTAGCACCGCACACGCGCCATGGCTGCAAGACCCAGAAGTCTGTCCTTGAAGTACCAACAGCAAAATACACACTGACTGTGATGTAAGGCCTGGGGGCCTATCATCTCGTGAAATTCTGTTTGCACAATTGACTCACCCATAGCATCCCAAAGGTTTATGACTCCAACCCAGGGACCTGCCTGCGTGCCCCATCAAGAAGAGCATCTTTCATCAACGCATGCTGGGCTTACTTTATACTGGACTCTAAAGTGGTTTTCTGTAAAGATCGCAAGGTGAGAGAAGCATTGGCAAAGTCTTTTTGGCCCGCCAAGAACCGTCGTCCGGCCACATTGGGGAAAGGGATGTCTCTGTTAGGCTGGAACCGCCCTTCGTGCGGCCAACGCCCCCAGCGCTGCTTCTCTACACAGCGGAGCCGTGCCTGCTTCCTCTTGATGCATGGCTGTCGTGACTTCGGATTTTGACGCTGGCACGCTGGGTTTGATTCCGTGCCTTTGCAAAATAGCCTTCAAGTTGCAATCGCACCATTGCACACTGCTCGTGCCCGTCAGGAGCTGCTCCATTTGCTCTTGCACCTGCCCGCAGATGCAGAGGAGCCGCATTTACAGCTGCGCCTCACAGTTTTGCAAATCCAGCCAATCTGAGAGAGCACGCAAGAATGTAACCTTTTCCTTGCAGGACATGGAGGCCAGCGCTGGGTCCCGAGAGATGTGATGTCTGCAGCACTCAAGCGCCACTTGGACGTCTGTTTAACGGGTCTCCGAAGGTGGAAATGGCTTCGCAGCCGTTCACGCTGCTCGATGATGCGGCAAGGGCCTCGGATCGGAGAAAAAAAGAGAACAACAAATTTTCTTGGAAGAAACTTTCCGGAGCGGAGCTGAGAGCTGCCTGCTAGGCCCGAGCAATCCATGCGCTCCCGGTGCCAGCGACTCGTCCGCGCGGCGGCCCTAGCAAGAAGAAGACTGCAGTTCTGCATAGCGAGCAAAGGGGCGCTGCTTTGTCGTCTTGTGTTTCATATTTCTAGATGTTTTCCATGTCGAAGCCATAGCCATACCACTGAGCATGACAGAACGCAGTTCGCGCTTGGCTAGTGAAAAACTTTCCAAATTGACAGCCGCAGTGGAAGCCATGCCATATCAGTGAGGATTTTGCCGGGCGACACTGCTAGCGTGGCTTCATGTGGAGTCAAAATGATTTGCAAGGACTCCCAACAAATTGCGTTTGACTTGCAGTTACGGCAAGCCTATGGCAAGCCTTGGCAGAAGAAGGAGGCTGTCTACTTGAAAAGGCTTCGTGTTTACACGCAGAAGAGCCCTCCCAAAGCTTTCCCGAAGCCAAGGTCTACCGCGTGGGCTCAGGATGAGTAGGGAGGAAGAGGCCAGACCGGAGGGCGTTGAGTGTCATTCAGTTCTGGTCCTTGCAGGGGAAAGCAGGGTATCCCAAATTAGATCAAATCACAGGAGAGGCTTTACAAGGGGATTTCTGTTCTTCGCTGACAGTTATGCGTCTGGTGGCTCTCCGGCCTCGCATGTCCCGTAATACTTGTAAAGGTTACGTCCAGTACCTGCAAGCTACAGCTAAAATGATATGGGCCCGGGCGCATTTGTCAATTGTTGATATGCCGCATGATGCTGTCACTCACTAGCGGCTCTCCCATAGCACGTCAAAAGTGTGACCTTTGGGTACTAAGCATCATGTGAACTATCAAGATCCCGGCAATGCATGCCTGACTTGCTATCCCAATGCATCCTGTTTACCTTTACTTGTAGCAGATTTCATGCAGATTTTGTTGGACAGGAGCAGCTCATCTCCAACTATGTGGGCGGGGGCCTGTCCATTTTTAGAAGTTGCATGATGTGGGTTTGTGCGTTGTAGCGGCTGGTTATGCGACTAGGCATGTGCACTTTTGGGTTTGGTGCCTGTAGTGCAGATCTACATCAATCTTTTCTAGCAACTTCCAGACTGACGCAAGGCTGCTTAGTTCGTGAGCCGTTGCAATCCGGACCCCTGAGCGGAGCCTTGCAATTCCCAGCAGTAGACTATAGATGCCTGCAGGTTCCTTGCTGGAGCTGAACCTCACACTGCCACCGGATCCGAAGGCAGATCAATTACGGCGGTGTCAGAAGATTTGAAGTTAGAAGCAAACTGCTCTATCTTTGGGTCTTCGGCCCGTCTGTATGAAGTTCTTTGGGGAGCCATTTTGCTGTGGCCCTGTTGTACTTACGGGCACCCGCGGTCTTGTCTCTGTGGCCATCTGAGGCAAAGTCAGCACCCGCAACCCTTGAGGAGCGGCTCGCTTTTGGCCTGGTAGCAGATACATCGGCTTTCGCTCTGGCTAGGATCAACTCTTGATGCTTATGAGCATGTGACAGGGTAGGTGTGGTTTCTGATGCTGGAACTATCTTGGGTTGTGCTTCAAGGTTGCTTTTTACAGCCAGGGTCCATTTACCCATAGAACATCTATTCGAGGTTTTTGTTCAAAGAAGTGCCAGCAGCAGAGATGCCGCAGTCTGCTTCTCAAGGTTTCTCAGCCATCTTGGTGTATGCCCAGCATAGACTGCGGGTGCCAGGTCAGTTTTGTATGTAATTGCCAATCGCAAGTAGAGCGGGAGGTTGTAGGATTGGGGAAATCCGAAACATTCATGAAGGACTGTCTGGAGAGAGATGCCCCATGTTGTTGTGAGCACGCCCTTGCAGGTTTGTTTGGCTTTGGATTCCTGTCGTTGTCCATGAAGTGCACTCCCGAGTTGGAGGTACATCTATTTTAGATCCCCTGCGTCCCCCCACGGCATGTGAAGTGTTGGGAGTGTTGCTGCTTCTGCAGGAGTCTGGGAAGGACTTGGCACTAGGCGCGCAACTCGAAAACTGCAATTGTGCGGACAATTAGATACAGGTACCGTGCTTGTGCCATCAGACGAAGTAGTAAGTAGTACGTCCCTTGGTATGGCTTAGAAGCTGATGTGAAGGTAGGCAGTCTGGTTGTTGGAGGTTGGGACGAGGCTCTTCTCTCACCAGGCTGGATCCGACCTGTGCTTTGAATCAAGTTCCCCAAAACGAGAAGGTGCATGAGATTCCACAAGCTTCCGCAAACGCTGAAGAACCCCTACTCCTCCATGTCTGTTGTGGCCCTGCGCAACTTGACGGGTCACCGTGAATCTGCGAAGGATCCTTTGTTTTGGATTCACAAAACAAGACCCAAGACACTTAAACTGTTCTGTCTTTACCTTGGCTATGGCACACATCTTGCAGGTGACGAAGCAAGATCATCTGCACCTGCAGAGGCCTGGTGGAGTGGAACTATCCCTGCATGCAGCACGAACTCATGATGATGATGATGATGGCGACGATTTTGATGAGCATTTAAGAGTCGGAATGGTATTTGTGATGGCATGCAGAATGCCCAGACTATTGCTTGGGTTACGTAGCTCGGGATGCACATGCATCTCCCAGGCCTTTCAGTCGAAGCCTGTAAATATGTGTCTACATATATACACGTATGTAGAAGCATTTTTTTAGGGGAATCCATCGTGGACTTTTGCAGCCACTGTGGAGCTTTTAATTCAGCCCCTGTTGATGCTGTTCTGGGTCTTGAATATGCACTGGACCCGGTTGGTGGTGGGAAAGGTGTCTCGAATCCTTGCTCAGAGCTCTGAGTGTCAGCGGTGGAATGCGGCGTATGTGCGGTCCTCAGATCTTCCCTGCTTGGTGGAGGTGTGTCAAATTTGTCGGGGTCTCGCTTGGCCAGCATGCATACAGCCAAACCTTTTCCGTGCCGCGCAAATGAAGGCTCTGAAGCTATCTCAGAAGCAGGCCACAGAAATGACGGGATCTTGAAAGCCTACCTACAGCCCATCAAAGGCTCTCAGCCCAAAGAAGGCAAGGAAGGGATTCGTAAAGCGACAACTCAGGCCTTGTACATTCTCGGGGTAGACCTGGCTTCCATTTTCAAGGCTGGGACAGCTTCATATAGGGTTGGGCATTGCTTCAGATATTCTAGGAAGGTTTTAAGATGTAGTGCGTGGGGTCTAGGATTTAGGACTTGGGGGTTGCTTTTTTGTTTTTGGGCTCAATTTGGAGTCTAGGCAGGCGCGTAGAGGTTGCATAGCTTCATACTTGAAGTTGGAGGCGGGGTCGTGTTGGTCTAGGTAGTGAGGTTTTGGACGTATTCATTTGTGCTGCGACAAGAGTTTGGCAGTCTTCTGGTACAGCTGCCATATTTGCGTGCTGCTTGCAATCAACGTGAGGAGACATGTGTAACATAGTGACAATATGTGATGCATGTGATCTCACCAAGGAGTCGTTCGACAACTGCATTGCCCGGTGGCGGAAGCGGAAGGAGCAGGGCAAGGCAAAGAGGGACCCACACAATCAAAGTGGCTTCCACGTAGAACAGTATGGTGTGAAGGCGCTGGAAATAGTGTTTTTGCTAGTTATCCATGATTGCTGTTGCAGCTTGCTCTTGCCCGTCGACATCTGCAGGTGCTGCTCGCCCAGGATGTGCTCCAGCGGTCGCAGAAGACTCTCCGTGATCTCACAGGTTGAGGGAGGACTTCTGCTTAGGGAAGGAGCAGCAGAACAAGATCCCACGCATCTCTCGTGCAGGAAGGTCCAACTCCTTTGCCAGCAGATCCTACAGTAACTTTCTTGATCTTTGCGCAGTTTTTCTCACTCATGGAATCATTCTTTGTCGCTTTGCAGACTTTGCTCTCATCCATACAAGACATAGCAAGACCCAACCCATCCCTGCTTGCCTCTTCGAGCTCGAGATTTGAGCTTGGCACCAGAAGCGGCTCCTCAGCACACGTTTGGCAAATTCAGCTACGGAGGGGGCAGCAAAGTCGGGCGTGAGTGACCGAGCGAATGTCACAAAGTTCAAGCAGCCCTGGCCTCTCCAACCATGTTTCACATCCAGTCAGGAGTCCTGAATTTTCCCAGCAAGAGGAGTCCCTGTCGAGCGCTGTGTCCCCAGAAGGATGGCAGCCTGATGCATCGATTTCCTCTGCTGATTGCATGTCTAGGGAATTCGCTCCCCTCGCCCCCCACCCCAAATGCATGCCCCTCCTGACCGAGTGAAGAGCGCTCCCTGTAAAAAGGCTCTTCACGCTGTGCTTTCGAACGGGTCTTTGGGTGGCAGATTGAACATGAATCGCCAGTCACTTGTCCTAAGACTCGGGGATCGTTGCCTAGCGATGTTGCTTTGCAAGATTGTAAGATGCCTTTGATGCTTCCTGCTAACCTATGTGCAGTTGCGACTGGATCAAAGCTGGACTTCAGTCAGCAGATCTTCATCAACAAAAAAGACTTGTGGAGACTTGTAGAGAGCTGAGCTCCACAGTTTACGGTGACCTTGCCATAAGGCATCAACGGACCTTGGCTACCAGGCCCCAACTATACCACTGCTTCATGTTGCTGTTGCAAGCCTCGCCGTTGCAGCCGCCGCGGCTAAAAGTTTTTGCGCCGTCCTCCCCCGCCCTTTGTGCGGGTGCGACGCGCAAGGGCCTTAGGGTTCAACTCAGTAATTTGGCAGCCGGTGCACCAAAAAGGGTCCCAGTGTGCTTGCTGGCCTTCGTGTTTACTTTGGGATCCTTTCGTTGGTTCTTCCCTGTTCGTGTGCTTGTCGTTTCCAGATTCATGGCAAGACACACACCCCCAATCCGCTAATGTTAGAGAAATTGCAGTATGCAAGAACATTTCCAGCGGTCGGAACTGTGTATGGCATTTGACTTCAAAGCACCTGAGGCTAGCCATGGCTGATGCCGCGCTCTCGTCGGCGGA